CGGGGCCCGGCCGGGGGGATCGCCCCGCTCCGCCCCAGAAATACCCTTCGGCGTCCCGGGTCCATTCTCTTCTGGCATAGGAGTTCACCGGGACGAGCAGAACAAAAGTTTTCGGTGTAAGCACTGCTCGTTATTAGGTGCCGTGTTTTCCTAAAACGATGACTGAATTTTAAATCCTAGATGAAGATGACGTGCATAAGTGCGGCCGCTGCCAGTCGGAGTTCGCCTCCTTGGAAGAATTTGTGCAGCACAAGTTACAAAAGGTCTGCCAGCGAGCTCCAGAAGCTCTTGTTGCTGCATCAGCCGGTCTCCTCAACCAAGAAGTACAAAAGGTGACAGCAGGCTTCTCCTCAAGCTGTGGCTCAAAATAATTAGGATGCAACGGTCTGTTGGGTTGGAGGGGAGAGAACAGAATACATTGTTTTTCAAGGTAATAAAACCTTTCTGCTAAAATGTTATGTTACAGCAGGTCGTTCCTTCTGTCGAGGAGTCGATAACTGTTGCTCATATAGTTGTGGAAGCATCTTCAATAGCAGAGGAAATCGGCAACGCATCAGCTATAGTAGGTGAGCTTCGAGACGCTTGCCTTTATACCCCTGCTGGGTTAGGAATAGTCTACTCGTCCTGTGTCCTTTTCTGTTTGATTTGTGTTGCAGTTGGGTATGTGACACCTCGGTGTTACTGAGCACTGGGACTTGGGACTGAGCGTTACCCCAAAGGTGTGAGAGGGACATCCTTAGGCCAGCTTTGCAATTCTCTCTGCATTAATACAAATTAGATTTAAAACTCTATTCCGGAAATGTCTGGTTTAATATTTATGCTGCAATAATGAGAACTTTGCAAAGACCCACGTTCCATGTTTAAAGTAACTCTTTGTCCGTCCTACTGCATTACATGCTGAAACAGTAAGTTGCCCTAGTTGTGTAAAGCTCTCTTCTGTAAAGAACATAACTGTCTTTGTATCCTTTTCCCAGGTAGTGGGCACATCAAAGAAGTCATTGTTACAGGAGACCACGTTTTTGAAAACCCAAATGGTCACGTTGATGGGGAAGTCACTGAAGAGCAAGGCAACCCTGACGATCAGGAGCAGGATATTTCCACAGAACTGATAAAGGTTAAGCTGCTGGTTAACAAAGAAGGGCGATATGTATGTGAATTATGCCAGAAGACATTTAAAACAGTGAGTATCACTTCTGCTTTGTTTGGGCTAGTGAGTTCTTTAGGCTAGCTGTTAACTAAGATATCTCAAGACTTGATAACAATGTGCTTTTCTGCTGCATGCTGCATTTTCAAAAGAAAAGTTCTAATTGTCGTAGTTTACAGTTGAAATGTAAAATCCTTAATCATTTGGAACATCTTTTAAAGTAAAGTTCTTCCCATAGGCAAGCATCCTCAAAGCTCACATGATCACTCACAGCAGTAGAAAGGACTATGAATGTAAACTCTGTGGAACTTCCTTCAGGACAAAAGGGTCTCTGATTCGACACCATCGACGTCACACTGGTAGGACAGCTCTCCAAAATAAGACTTCCTTGTTGCTGGAGTGTGCTGTGTGTGGTTATCCAGTGTAGCTTCCAGTAGAATTTATTGCTGCTCTCCATCTGCTGAGACTGTGGAGCTCCCCAGTGTTTGTGGTGCTGGGAAGGGAATGCAAGGTTCTGGGATAAGCACAGACTGCTCGCTGTAGACAGCTTGAAAGCCTTCTTCTAGCAGTCTGTTGCACAGAGCTAATGCTGGCCGTGGTTAGTTTAATACTGTTGTTTTGATTCTTGTCATTTCTAGATGAAAGACCTTACAAATGCAAGAAATGTGGGAAAAGCTTCCGGGAATCGGGAGCTTTGACTCGGCACCTGAAATCTCTGACACCTTGCACCGAAAAAATTCGCTTCAACATGAACAAAGAAATAGTAGTCAATAAAGATGATTTGCCAACAGGTCAGTGACACTGTCAATATCTGCCTTGCGTCTGATAAAACCGAGCATGCTCCTGCCACTTGAACTATAAATTCTTTCTCAGTTATGAAAAAAACTTAATGCTGTGGTATTCGGTTTATAAATTTTATACAAGAAAAAGTAATATATAGAGCTAAACAATTAACCTGAAGTGCATGTAGCCACGTGTTGGCTGTGAAGAATGTTTGAGAATCTGGTACAAAGATGGCTTTAGCAGGTGCCTTGTATTCCAATACACATACAGCAAACTGATGAGGGGTGGCGGTACACCAAGTGATTCATTGCGCTGCTTTTCTTGAAGGATCCTGTAGTTCAAACGCAGATACCGTTTCATCAATAGCGAGTGAATCCATCGAGACCTCACCTGTCATTCACCTCGTGACAGATGCAAAAGGCAACGTTCTTCATGAAGTCCACGTACAAATGCAGGAACTTCCTGTTGTAGATGCGAAATCCTTGGACCAAGATGTGAGTGTCATTTCTCTTAAATAACCTTCATGGGTTTTATACAAAGAAGTATTTTGAAGTATTTCACCTCAAAACCAAATTTTTTTAGGTGCTGAGAATAAATCTGTGTTGTGGAAGTAAATGGTTAATTAGCTGCTTTTTCATTTGAGAACATAGAATGCAAGCTCTGCTCTGACCTTTTCTGGCCATCTGCTGCTGCCGAGCAGCATGAGTATAGCATACAGGGGGATGCGTAGGGTTCACCATATGTATTGGATGATATAGAAGGTGAGAGGGTGTTTTTGTTGACCATTCCCTACTACAAGACTCTGGTAGGCGCAAAGGCTCATCATCCCTTGGACTATTTGTTTTCAGACTACAGAGTTCACCTCATCTTCCTCTGCAGTCCAAGATCATTCCCTTGTTGGTCTTTCAAACTTGTATCGCAGCATTAGACACCTTAGAAAGAATGACTGTCGTAGCAACGTTGCTGTAAAAGAAAGAGCTAACTGTGTTATTTGCCGTACCGATTACCAGACTGTTTATTCCTTCAGCAGTCGCATCCTGAGGAGCTGCCGTGCGAGGGGGAAGTGAACAGTGAGAATCTGCTGAGGCAGGCCATGAGGAATTCGGGTATTGTGATAGAGAGAGTCGCTATGGAGGAAATGCAAAAGCCAGATGAGGCCGCTGTAGCTGCTACAGAAGAACTAGAAAATGAAG